CACTGCCTGCGTCTGAGTAACAAACTGAAAAAAACAACAAACAAAAAAGTGCATGTGATATTAACAGACGAACTACGCTCATATTTATAATTCCAAACAATCAGTAAGCGACAGGTGCTAGGAAACGCTGTTTTGTACTCATGTATTGACGAGTTGGCTGCGGAGCGACCAACTGAATGAACTGCTTCTCTGCCGCTCACTGCACAGAACAGACGCCGAGAGAGGTGACACTTCTCCGGGAAAGTCAGACCTCGTGTTCTCGGGACAGCACTGGCGAAATCTTCCAACTGAACAATAGCTAAGGTTTATCCAAAAAAGTCGCTAGGTTTGTCAGTATGAATATTCTATGGAAAAAAGCCGCTAAAAGGGTCTGAAAGTTGCTAAATCTAGTGCTAAAGTCGCGCTCGTGTGTGTGAGACGTGGGAGCTGATGGCAGGGGGCGGTGGATATTTGTGGCGGTCAATGTGGATATTGTGGATGAGTTCTTCTGTGTCATCACGTTCTATTAGTTCTACAGCTTCAGTTTCGGAACTTTCATGCTTAGTAACACATACAGCTGTTCCCTCACCACAGCGCAACAGTGAAAAGAGACCCCTTTCAAACAGTGTCGCGTTCCGAACGTTGATTAAGTGACATATTTCGGTATGTATTGCGGTATTTTCAAAATTCATATCATAACAAAAATAAAAAACGGTATTCGGTATGAACCGGTATACCGCCCAGCACTAGTGTGAATGTTTAAAAGAATGGGTTGGGACAAGCCCAAAAAAGTATTTTGCCTTTTAAAGTTCTAAAACATTAGGAAAAAAGAAAGAAAAGTCCTAATTGAAGAATCACTCAAATATATCGGCCCTGTTGGAGTGTGTCTGTGGTGTAATGGAGTGATCTGGAGGAAGGGCCCCTGCTGCTGCAACAGTGAGGGCCACTAAGGCCCCATAAAGGGCCAAACTTACGTGTGCACCTATTTAGTACAGGACTGTTCTCTTCATCTGAACTGTCTTCTGTGGGCAAACAGAGATGAGCACACACAGCTTTGCAAAATGAGACAACTCTATGTTAATGCTGCATTCACACACACACACACACACACACAGCTTTACAAGTAACAACATAAGCAAAAGAATCTATGATAACAGAATAGCAAGACACATACATTAAGTAAATACTCCTATGATAAAAGAGATGTGCATACTCAGCAATACTACAAAACACACACAAAGAAAGAATAAAACATTTGTTAGCAAGATCAGCAGAAGATAAAAACACAAAGCGCAGCGATGTAGTGAGAGACTCGAGCAGAAGGGAATGTGATGCATCTGAGCTCATGGTGAGAAAGCAGTTAGACTATAAAGAACAACTGAAGCTGATAACGTCAGAAACTTCAGCTCTGGTTGAGGGTTTAATACTTTCACACAGAGAACGGTTAGAAGCCAGATGAACTGTTGACCACAGAATTCAGTAATGACCTTACATTGTTTAGAACCAGTTAAACTTCAGGCAAATTAATGGAGTCTAATCTTAAAAGTTTCAGTATCATGAAGCCTGAATGTCACAGACAAATGTCTCGTTTTTTTTTTTTAACATTGTCCTCAGCATTCTTATTAACCAAGTACTTCTCAGTAATGTGAAAAAATAATTAAATATTATTGAATTATAAAGCACAGCCCAGCACAGCTGTAAAGTGCATTTGTACTGAAAATCAATGGGGTAAAAAATATTTATATAATTTCAGGACTAAATATTAGATATTATAAAATTTATTTTTAAATTACACATTTAATAATTAATTTCTGTTAATACAATTATATACATTTTTATAGTACATTATTATTTATTTTCTGTTTTTATTCTTGAATTATTTATTTACTTATTGCTGCATTTCTCTGTCCCATATGATAATATTGGTTTCTTTTTTTTATAGAGAATATTTCTTATTTAATTCATTATTTTTCCTTTTGAAATTGGAGAGAAATATTATCTGATTATATGACCATTTTCATGAGATTCAGCTGAATATATAATGCATTAAAATTTTATTTTTATGCATTATAATACATTGACAATGCCTTATATTTCAACTTGTAATCATTTACATGTTCTCAAGAATAACCACAGTTAAATTACATAATTTACATCCCTTATTAGAGAGTATAATGCATTATATCACATGATCAATCGTGAATTATTGGTTGTGCTGACATTTATTCATTGATGGGGTTGTAAAACTTAATGTATTATAACTGTGGTTATAATCAGCCTGTTTATGAAAATATAGATCAAATTACAATGTGCTCCTTGGAAAGCACTGATTTCTCTGATTCAAGTTGAACCCATTAAATCATTCAATAACTGTGTGTAATCAAAGACGACATGATAATTAATGAGTGAACATAAGAGGCACCTTGTTCTGTACTGCAGTGCCATTGGCTGAAATTGCGACCAATGAGAATGAAGCTCCTGGTGGTGCCAGGTGGTTGGCTGATGTGCTGGATGATTGACAGGGGGACATAGATGTCTCCCTGAGGACAGCTGGAGACACACACAGGAAACAGCTCATCGGTTTAAGCATAAACTGAACGGACAGAAACATCTGATGGTGCGTTGAACAGCTAAGCATCCTCTGCACATACAGAAGTCACTGATCACATCTGCAGTGACAGACACGTCTGGACCGCTCTGATGATACTGGGACGCACCTGGTTCTTTCAAACACTTTGACTGCCATGTCACCGGCCAGTGAGCCGACCAGATTGACCGTCTCTGTGAGGATGGAGGGCATGAGGAAATTATGCGAGGCTTCAGCTGAACAGTGCTGGATGGAAGGACAACCTGAGAGAGAAAATTATTTACTGCATATTTCATTAGGGGACTTTTTTTATCTGTCTAATCACTTTAAACTTCATTATTGTGTCTCTTTAATTATTTCTTCCCAAGTATTAAGAGTGTTGAAAGGTGAAACAAGCCTTTTTCATTTTCAAACGTCCCCTCTATAGTGCATTTAGAGTAAATGTTAAACTCAGGGAAATTCTACTTTGCACTTTTTCATAAGAAAATTAATTACAAATTGTGCACATACATACCAAATGGTATTAAAAAAAAATTCATTGGTATTTATACATTCATGAGTTGTTCCCAATACTGCTATTAGTTTTTCCAAAAGAGTTTTTAATTGGTTGTGTAAATGATTTGGTAATGGCATCTAAAATGTAAAAAATGTTTTAGAAATAAAAATGCTAAATATAATATAATATATACAGTGGGTACGGAAAGTATTCAGACCCCCTTCAATTTTTCACTCTTTGTTATATTGCAGCCATTTGCTAAAATCATTTAAGTTAATTTTTATTTAAGGGGGTCTGAATACTTTCCGTACCCACTGTATACTTAAAAAATAACAACTTCTAATTAAGTGAACTTAAAACCATTTTCAAATAAACCAATATATTTAAATGCCATATTTTTTATTATAATTATTGCAATATAAAAGTATATTTAAAAAATTTACTGTTAGGTGGGATTAATCACGATTGATTTCAGGAAGAAATGTGTGATTAATTAGTTCTATTTTTTAAACAATTGAGAGCACATATATATATATATTTCATTTTGACACTTAACATGATAACATTTAATATCATTGTGGTAATGACACCCGTGCTGGGCAACGATAAATAAATAATAATAAAAAAATCGTGATTAATCGCACGATTTTCAGTGATTAATCGCATTGTTATGCACAAAATTCAATAATGAATTCA